TATCCGCAATAGCCAAACTGTGGAAAGAGCTGAGATGCCCTTCAACAGAAGAATGGATAAAGAAGATGTGGTCCACATATACAATGGAATATTCATCAGCCATCAGAAAGGATGAATACCCAACTTTTAAATCCACATGAATGGGACTGGAGGAGATTATGCTAAGTGAAGTAAGTCAAGCAGAGAAAATCAATTATATGCTTTCACTTATTTGTGGAACATAAGGACTAGCATGGAGGACATTAGGAGATGGAAGGGAAAAATGAAGGGGCTGGGAATCGGAGGGAGAGATGAACCATGAGAGACTATGGACTCTGAGAAACAAACTGAGGGTTTTAGAGGGGAGGGGTGTGGGGGATGGGTTAGCCCAGTGGTGGGTATTAAGAAGGGCACGTACTGCATAGAGCACTGGATGTTATATGAAAACAATGAATCATGATCACTTTATCAAAATCTAAAGATGTATTGTATGGTGACTAACATAACATCATAAAATAAAATTTAAAAAAAGAATGATATAGTGTCTCTGTGGATCTCTTACTACAGTCTTTGGTTTAAATTCTATTTTGTCTGATATAAGAATTGCTACCCCAGCTTTCTTTTGAGCTCCATTGGCATGATAAATCATTCTCCATCCCTTTAGTGTCAGTCTGGAGGTGTCTTTAGGTTCAAAATGAGTCTCTTGTAGACAGCATATGGATGGGTCCTGTCTTTGTATCCAATCTGCAACCCTGTGCCATTTAATTGGAGTATTTAGGCTGTTCACTTGGAGAGTGATTATTGAAAGATATGAATTTCTTATCATCATGTTGCCTGTGAAGTCCTGGTTTCTATAGATTATCTTTGTAAATTTCTGTTCTATATCACTCTATATCACAACCCCCTCTTAATATTTTTTGCAGGGCTGGCTTAGTGGTCACATATTCTTTCATTTTCTGCCAGTCCTGGAAGCTCTGAATCTTTCCATCCATTCTAAATGACAGCTTTGCTGGATAAAGTATTCTTGGCTGCATGTTCTTCTCATTTAGTATCCTGAATATGTCTTACCAGCCCTTTCTGGCTTGCCAGGTCTCTGTGGACAGATGTGATGTTATTCTGATGTTCCTCCCTCTGTACCTAAGAAATCACTTCCCCCTAGCTGCTCTCTGGAAGCTTTCTTGGTTCTGAGGTTTGCCAGGGTCCTGGGCTCTGTGGAAACTAGTTTTTTGAGCTTTCATTCTCTGGCAGCTTTCTGACCCTATTCTGAGGTTCAGAACAAAAAAATGGCTGTACCCAGACCACCTCTGTCCTAGAGCAGAGAAATCACAGTCTACTCTTTCCGAACCCTCCAGAACACAGTCTCCATTTCTGTAAGTGCCGCTGAAAACCAAAGCCTACCACAAGTGGTGCGCATCCACAGCGACCTTCTCAGCGGTTGATCCACAAGCCCCACTTGTTTCTGCCCTTGGTGCTTCTGAAACTGCAGGCAGGCCTGGGTTCACGAGTGTGCCCCCACAGCTCCTGGATCGTGTTTGAATGCTGTTATAAAGCCATTCCTGGCATCACTGTTCTGCGAGTTATCGCCCCACCCCCTTGTGGTATGCTCTTGCACTCTGGTATCATATCACTTTCCAGGGGCCAGCTTATGGCAAATCCCTCCTCCTTCTGCTTATCTTCTGATATCTGCCCACAGATTCACGATTCCACCCTTCATACCTTGGGGCAGGTGGTGTTCTTCTGCTTGTAGAGATCAAGATATATATTCTTACATCTCAGGCTGATTTTGTGGGTGCCCATGTTGGTTTGGTAGATACCCAGCTAAATTGAGGGGCCCAGTTAAAATGTAGTCCCCTACTCCTCTACCATCTTGCCCCCTTCTCCTACTGTGGGTCTCTATCTCTTACCTGTCTTCTGTCACCTCTTGTTTCTTTTCCTGTGGGTCTCTATCCCTTACCTGTGTTCTGTGTCCTCTAGGTTCTGTTACTGTGAGTCTCTATCTCTTACCTCACATCTCTCTCCTCTTAGTCCCGTTACTCTGGGTCTCTATCTCTTACCTGCCATCTGTGTCCTCTAGGTTTTGTTACTGGGGGTGTTGTTTATCACCTACGTGTCTTCTGTCTCCTCTTGGATCTGTTATTGTGGGTGTCTATCTCTTTCCTGTGTTCTGTCTTCTCTACATACTGAGATGGTGGGTCTCTATTTCTTACTTGTCTTTACTCATCTGGCTAGAGTTACTGTGGGTCTCTATTCCTTACTGCCCATTTCTTTCCTCTTGGTTCGTTTACTGTGGGTCTCTATCTCTTAGCTGTCTTCTTCACCTCCAGGTTTTTTTTATTATGGGTCTATGTCTCTTATTTGAAATCTGTCTCCTATTGGTTATATTACTGTGGGTCTCTCTCTCTTACCTGTCTTCTGTTTCCTCTAGGTTTTGTTACAATGGTTCTTTATCTCCTACCTCCAACCTGTCTCCTCTAGTTTCTGTTACTATGGATCTCCGTTTCTTATCTGAAATCTGTCTCCTATTGGTTCTGTTAACGTGGGTTTCTATCTCTTACCTGTATTCTGTCTCCTCTGGTATCTGTTACTGTGGGTCTCTATCTCTTACCTCCAATCTCTCTCGTCTTGGTTGTTACTGTGGGTCTCACTCTTACCTGTGTTTTGTCTCCTGTAGGTTCTGTTACCTTGGATCTCTATCTCTTACCTGTCATCTGTATCCTCTTGGTTCTGTCACTGTGGGTCTTTATCTCTTACCTGTCTTCTTCTCCTTTAGGTTCTGTTACTGTGGGTCTCTATCTCTTACTTGTGTTCTGTCTCCTCCTGGTTCTATTACTCTGGGTCTCTATGTCTTAGCTCTCATCTGTCTTTTGGTGGTTCCATGTGGTAGGACAGTATTGGAGGGTCCCACATGGGAGCCTCAGGGCCTGGTGAGAGGTAATTCTCAGAGAACAGGCATTCTAGCCCAGAGGGTGATGGCATAGTTGTGCCAGTGCCTGGTGCTCCACAAGGAGGGCATGGGGTCCCCCTGTGTGGGAGCTCCTGGCATTCCCATGTGGGGTGGGTGGGTGGGATGGAGGCTGATCATTGGTCCAGGGGATGGGACTGGGGGTAGCCCTGGGGCCGAGAGGAAGAGGGGGCTGGGAAGGCTGCATGGCCCATTGGCAGATTGGCTTCTAGGTAGATGTGTAGGGTGAAGAGGATGGAGGGTGTGGAGAGACCTGAGGATGGTAGCCTGGAGCCCCCAGTGTCCCTGGGGGCTGGAATGTCGTCCTGGATGCCTGCTTTCTGTCCCACAGCCATCCTAAATTGTGTTCCCCAGATTCATGTCTTAAAGTCGTGACTGCAGGACCTCAGAATGTGACGGTATTTGGAGACGGGGTGTTTGGAGAGGTGACAAGGTAAAAGGAGTCATTAATCCAATCCAGTATGGCTGGTCCTCAGTATGGCCTCTTCTCCTTGTAAGAGCAGATGATCAGGACTCAAGCACACACAGAGGGCTGGCCACGTGAGGCCAGGGGCAGAGGCCCCAGGAGGCTCCCACCCTGTGAGGCCTGCACCTCTCCCTGCTAATTCCCAGGGTTGTGAAAACAGAAACCTGTGGGTTGAAGCTGCCAGACTGTGGCTCTTTTGTTTGGCTGCCCATCCTGACTAATACACACCCACCACATGCTTCTTGCTTCTGGCCATGGCCAGGGATGGCAGTCCCTCCTGCACCCAGCCCCAGGTGACCCCTGGCCCTGCACTCTTCCCGGCTGCCTTCCTCACCCACTGGGAGCCTCTGGGGCTATGGGGTCCTGGCCCCCTACAGCAGGTGAGAACCGATGCACAGCATGGTTCCAGTGAAATCCCAGGCTGGGATTTCACCAGGCACATCAACAGAGGAAGACTTTCCCCAGCGAGTTATGGAACTTTTCAGGATAGTTTATTGTCATCGAAGAAGAAGAGAAGAAACAGTAAAGGACATTATTATGCTCCAGAAATTTCAAAAGAAGAAACAAGCTACCCAAGCTACAACAGTGGGTTTCCTTTGAGTGATGGGTGCACATTCTCTCCTAAGGGGCATGGGGTCTCTTCTTCTCCTCCCTTGCCCAGCCATCTCCCATGTAGGGGATCTGACCTGGCACTCGCTCAAAGACTGGTGGAGAACCAGGCCTAGGGGTCCACCTGGCTCAGGCCCCAAGGCCACGGGGGTCTCTCTGGTCATCTTCTCTCTGCCCCCAGTTCCCAGGAGCAAGCAGGCATTCCTTCTCAGCATGACTTGTGTCCTGGCCATAGGATGGTGCAGGCTGGGCCTGCTGTCCTGGCCTCCCAGCACCCATCCATCTCTGTCCACTGAGGCTGCATCCCACCCACCTTGGGACCAGGTCACCAGGCCCCTCCTCAGGAGGGCAAACTGGCTGCAATCACTCCTTCCCCAGATGGTGCCGCCCTGCCCCTGGTGGGCTTCTGCAGTGGCCACAGGCCTGGGCCCTTCTCTGCATGGTCTCCTCTGGTGGAGAAGTTCTGATTGACCATTCTCAGCACATTGGAAACTTCTCTGTGGGGTGATGGTGGTCCGTGGCTTCCTCAGGATCTGAGACAACATGCCTGCTCTGGGGATGTCCTGCCTTCTGGAGCCTGGCCTGGACGGGGTTTGCACAGAGGCCGGGCCCTGCCCAGACAGACACTACGATCACGAGCCCTCCACCTTCTCCAGGATGACTTTGCACGCCAACCCCGGGGCCATCCTGGTGAGGACCATCCCACCCTGATGCCTCAGTGTCCACAGGGCCCCAGCAGTATCTTGGTGGCTACTGAGGAGGGGTCAGCAGGTGTCCGTCAGCTCGGGTTGGGGGCACAGCCTGCTGTCACATTGAGTCTCCAAACGGGGGTTCAGGGGCAAGATGCAGCCCACGGCATCCACGAGCCCAGAGGGTGGAGGTGCAGGCCCAGGGTGGCTGTGAGGTCAGAGGGTGGTGAGGGGGGAGAGCAGAGGAGCAGGCCTGGCAGCAAGCCAAGCAGCATGAACGGATTCACCCGGTTCCTGTGTGGGGTCGAGGGAAACCCTGGACATCCACCCAAGAGGGCTGGCCCTAGGCCCCCTGTCCGATCATGTTCCTGTAGTCGGGCACGATCGTGCGCTTCAGCTCCACCACCGAGGAGAAGATCCACTTCACCTGCAGCAGGTGGGCAAGGGAGTGAGCGTGGCCTGGAGCCTGAAGGACCGCCTCCCGCCAGGGCCTGCCCCCCACCCCCGGGACATTGTAGTGTGCGGGGGTCCTGGTGGGGATGGATGCGGACAGCAAGGGGACAGCGAAGGGGCAGTGAGGGGACACAGAGGGGACAGTATGGAGACAGTGTGGGAACAGCGTGGGGACAGTGGACCATAGTGTGGGGACAGTGTGAGTACTGCATGAGAGAGTGTGGGGACAGTGTGGGGTGAGTGTGGGGACAGTTTTGGGTCAGTGTGGGAACAGCATGTGGTCAGTGTGGGGAGAGCATGGGGACAACAGGCTGCAGTGAGAGTACGGTATAAGTACAGCATGGGGACAGTGTAGAGTCAGCATGGGGAGAGGGAGGAGACAGTATGGGGACAGCATGGGGACAGTGAGGGGACAGCGTGGGAACAGCATGGGGATGCAAAGGAATGGCATGTGGACATTCAGGGGACAGTGTGGGGTCAGGGTATGGATAGTGTGGGGACAGGTAAAGGATAGTGTGGAGACAGCATGGGGATAGCTTATGAACAGTGTGGTGTGGCGTCAGTGTGGGGACAGCGTGGGTTCAGCACGGGGACAGGGTGCGGACAGCTAGATATCAGTGTGGGGACAATGTGGGAATGGCCTTGGGTCAGTGAAGCAACAGTATGGGGACAGCGTGGGGGCAGTGGGCCATAGTGAGTTGATGGTGAGGGGACAGCATGAGGAAAGCTGACCACAATGAGGTGATGGTGTTTGGACGGTATGGGGAAAACGTGCGGACAACGTGGGGACAGCATGGGGTCAGCGTGGGGACAATGTTGGGACAGTGGGCTGTAGTGAAGGGATGGTTGAGGACAGAATATGGACAGTGTGAGCAGAGCGTGGGGACAATGTGGTGACAGGATAGAGACAGTGTAGGGACACCATGGGGACTGTGTGGGGACACAGAGGGGCCCATGTGGTAATAGTATGGGGACAGTGCGGGGACAGTGCAGGGACAGGGAACTGACAATATGGGGACAGTGTGGGGACTGTGGGTGCAGTGTGGGAACAGTGTGGAGACCGTGTGTGGACAGTGTGAGCTCAGCATGGAGATATCATTGGGACACCGTGGGGACAGTATGTGGAAAGCGAGGGGACAGCATGGGGGCAGTGTGGGGCATAGTGTGGGGACAATGTGTGGTCAGTGTGGGGACAGCCTGGGGACTGTATGGGTCCAGCCTGGGGACAGCGTGGGGACACCATGGGGATCATTGTGGGTCAGTGTGGGGACAGCGTGGGGACAGTGTGTGTGATAGCGTGTTGATAGCATGGGGAAAGAGGGGGACAGTGTGAGGTCAGCATGGGGACAGTGTGTGGAGTGCATGTGCACAGCATGGGGACAACAGTGACAGTGTGGGGACAGCGTGGGGACATTACAGAAAGTGTGGGGACAGCGTGGGGACAGCCTGGAGACAGCGTGGGGACATCCTGGGGACAGCGTGGGGACAGCCTGGGGAAGTGTGGGGACAGCGTGGGGACAGCATGGGGACAGCATGGGTCCAGCCTGGGGAAGCGTGGGGACAGCGTGGGGTCAATGTGGGGACAGTTTTGGGTCAGTGTGGGGACAGCGTGGGGTCAATTGGGGACAGTTTTGGGTCAGTGTGGGGTCAATGTGGGGACAGTTTTGGGTCAGTGTGGGGTCAGTGTGAGGTCAATGTGGGGATAGTTTTGGGTCAGTGTGGGGACAGCGTGGGGTCAAGGGGACAGTTTTGGGTCAGTGTGGGGTCAGCCTGGGGACAGCGTGGGGACAGTTTTGGGTCAGTGTGGGGACAGCGTGGGGTCAATGTGGGGACAGTTTTGGGTCAGTGTGGGGTCAGCGTGGGGTCAATGTGGGGACAGTTTTGGGTCAGTGTGGGGACAGCGTGGGGTCAATGTGGGGACAGTTTTGGGTCAGTGTGGGGACAGCGTGGGGTCAATGTGGGGACAGTTTTGGGTCAGTGTGGGGTCAGCGTGGGGTCAATGTGGGGACAGTTTTGGGTCAGTGTGGGGACAGCGTGGGGTCAATGTGGGGACAGTTTTGGGTCAGTGTGGGGACATCCTGGGGACAGCATGGGGACAGCCTGGGGACAGCCTGGGGACAGCGTGGGGACAGCGTGGGGCCAGCAGGCCGCAGTGAGGGTACGTGTGGGTCGCCCACCTTGAAGAGGGTCACAGTGGCGCTGTAGCACACGCTGAGCAGGAAGAGGGTGATGAAGATTGAGATGGTGGTCCACAGCCCGTCCAGCTCCCCGTCCTGGTCCTCGGCACAGCTGTCGTCCAGGAGCAGCTCTGGACAGGAAGGGGGTGGTCAGTGCCGTGCCTGCCCGTTGGGGTCATTCCCTGGGGGACAGTCACAGCCCTCTGCAACCTCAGGTGCCAGCCTCAGCACCCCCAGCTCCCCAGCTCGGGCCTGGCCAGGGGGAGCCCCTGTTCTCTGCTGTGCCCTGTGCTGGGGCCCTCCTGGGGGAAGGCGCCCTGACCGACACACATTCCCCTGGGGGCCAGGTCCAGAGGGTGGGAGGGTCAGCAGAGTCCGGGGAAGGGCTGGTCAGTGTCGGGGAGTGTCGTAGAATACGAGTGTGTGGGAGCGTCGGGACAAGCTGGGTGTGGGGGTTTCGTGGATATTGGGAGGGGTCGCAGGTGCCCTGGGGCAGAGGAGGGCTGGTTAGTGTGGTCAGCGTGTGGATGAGCTGCTGAGCAGCTGGTGGGTGTTGGAGGGGGTGGGGACCAGGCTGGTGTGCACGCTGAGGGTTCCCAGGACCCGCTCTGCTCTGGGCTCATGGAGGCTGTCCGGTGTGAGGCCCAGCGTTTAAGGCCCGTGTGTGTAGGTACACGTGCGTGTGTGTGTGTTTGCAAGCACGTGTGTGCATGTACATGTGTGTGACTGTGCACACACATGTGTATGCATGTGTGTGCATATATAAGCATGTGTGTGAGTGTGTGTGTGTGTGTGTGTGTGTGAGTGAAGATGGCATTGCTCAGTGGGACAGGCTTCTTTTCAGTGGTTCTGGACTCAGCATCCAAGTGGGCATCTGGGATGGTCCTTCCCCTGGGCACGCAGGGCCACCTGCCTCTGCCCCTTTGGGGCACGGGGATGAGTGTCCTCAGGAGTGGACAGGCCTGGCTTCAGGCAGGATGAAGCCAGGCAAGTCCCCTGCATTTGAGGGAGGGGGGGCCTGTTTGTGGAGTGCCTGAGGGCAAAGGAGGGCCTGTCCCCACACATGGGTCAGGCATGGCTCTTGCAGGGGCACAGAGCTACCACGCAGAGTCTCAGGAGGCCCAGGGAGCCTAGGGTGGAGGACAGGCCAGTGTCCCAAGCTTGGGTTGGTACAGAGGTGGGTAGGACTGTGTGCTCATTTCCCTGAGGGCTCTGGAGGGGCTTCCGCAATCCCTGTCCATACCCTCCAGCCCTGGGTAGCTTCTGACTGGAGGGACGGCCCAGAGAGGCTGCCACCTCTGGCAAAGTCCCCACTCCTGCTCAGGCAACTCCTGCCCAGGCAACGCTTGCCCACATCCTGTGGCAGCCTGTGCAGACCTGCCCACTCAAGGACCAGGCCCCCGTGGGACCCGCTCTCTCCCACCAATAGTGACCCCTTGGCCTTGGAGCTAGGCCTGTCTGTGCCACCCAGAGGTCCGGGGGTCCTGAGCTCTGCCTCAGAAAGAACCATGACAGCATCGCAGGGTCCCAGGGCAGTGCTGGGTGCTTTATTTCATGCAGGGGTGCCTGCCCGGGAGGTATGTACACAGGGGTGGGGGCTCTGGCGTCCTTGTGGGACCCTGAGAGCCCATGGGTGGGGGCTTGCTGGGGT